TTCAGCTGTCTGGTCTCGTCTTGCAAACTTGACTTCACAGTATGCTGGGTTGCGGTACATTTAAGGGGGTAAAGAGGGAGTTCCAAAGTGGGTCAGAGAAAAAAAAATTCAAACAATTATTCAAGGGCCCCGCCTCTCTCACAGAACCTACACCCTGAATAAAATCTGCATTGCACTGCAGTCTATCTCAATCAAGTCAAGCAAGCCAATTGTTTCGGATGTTGAGTGGGTGGAGAAGAATTTTACACACTTTTTGATGCATCTTGAAATTGGTGTGATAACAACACAATTCAATTTGACAAGTTCTATTTAAAAGACCTCAAAATGTGTGGGTCAGCTATTCACCTGCCAACTGGGGGTATCGTAATTATTGTCTGTGCGTGTGTGTGTTTCTTTTTTCTATTGACAGGAATGCGCAAAAACTATTGGAAGGATTGAACTGAAAATGTGTAGATGGGAATCGATGATAGGAGGCCCCCATTAAAATGTTGATATGATCCATGGTGTTGGTGGAGTATAGATTCCCCAAGTGCACTTTCTAGTTTGCAAAGCATATACAAGGTATCTCAAAGTGCTTCACAAAACAACATTGGAATCATTAAAACCAATAGACAACAGTGATAATCTAATAATGATACATCATGAAAATGAAGAGGACTGAATGGAGGTCATCAGATTCTGGTGCTGCAGAATCCCAGTTCTTATGGCACTAACATGCCACAAATGTACTTAAGTATGGGGCCATGGAGAGACTTGTACACAAGCAGAACTGCTTTACAGACTATGATCCACACCCACCCATTCTCTGTATGGTCTAAAACCTGAATGGAACATATCAAGAATTATATATATATATATATATATATATATATATATATATATATATATATATATATATATATATATATATATATAAAATAATAATAATTATTTATTATTATATATTAATAGATTTTGTTTAAACTGTTCTAAGAAGAAACGCTCTCGGGAAAGTTCCAGATTGAAGCGACATGTTAACCATCTGCATGTGTGACGACAAACTGCTCAGAACACTTAAAAAACTAGTGGGTGAAACATTGAGGTGACTCTACAGTGTACTACTATTTTTGATAACTACAGTATTATGACACTATAATATTCCATCTTGATTCTGTCTGATTCCTTTTCAACAGATGCTAGTATCACATACTAGTATATGAGAACCTGTTTGGCTAAATCCCATTTAGTTGATCTTTTTTTTGTATTTTAAGCATGTAAGGCTGCGGAGTCCCTGTAGATCTGCACTGTAAATCCGCACAATAATCAGATTCAGCGGCGAAGATCAAAGCAGCCAGCTACATCTTTACACTGAGCTGCACTTTGAAGTTTATTTATGAGACAGGGATAGAAAGAGAACCGTGATGGAACCGGCCTTGAGAGCTGAACACAATGTTAGACCACTATGTTTGTGAGTACACACGACATTCCAAGCATTGAACCCACAGTGCATAATGTTGGTTTGTCCCTGACTGAAAGATCAATGTAATATGTGTTCTGTATCCCACAGTCGTCTCAGCTCGCTGGAATCCTTGGATAATTGTGAGCTCCACAATGTGAGATTGAAAACACTATGTTGGTGTGCAGTCTACATGCTACTGATAATAACACATATAAGTGGTTCAACTGTGAGCTGTTTCTGCAGTGGTCTCTTTCTTTAAAAATGCACACTGCCCCATGGTGTTCACATTATGTCGTTACACCACAAATCAGTAGATTTGAATTTTCAGTAACACGTCACACAGATTCCTATTACACATCATCAAAATACACAAATTGTAGTGTAACACTAAGGACATCATATTTTGATGTATAGTGGAGTTTTAAATAATCAAGGACCTCATGACTTGGCTTTTTAACATCTACATTTTTAAATGTTCTGTGTATGATTACATAAAATCCATTAGATAAACAAGTACATAATTGAAATGCAATAGATGAACTGCAGTGACAGAATCACCCATGGATAGGCATATATTGTTTGGTCTTGTCAGAAATCAATACACAATCCTTTTCTGCCGCACTGTGGTCCTCTGCTGTCACTGCACCACGCTGCTCCACTCACAGCATGTATTGTAAAGTCCTAATAAAGAACAGCTATGGTGCCATTGTATGTGCCAATGCTGCAGTTGCTATGGAGACCGATACCAGAAAGCATTATGCTTTCTCCAGTGTGTGTGTGTGTGTGTGTGTGTGTGTGTGTGCGTGTGTGTGTTACTATTACCAGGCGTTTGTTACAGACTTTGAGGCTCCTTGGAGGGCTCTACTGGAGAGGGGGGAAACATCTGAAAAATCTGACAAAATTGCAACATCAGGAGCTCACACAATACTACATTTGGCCACATCATACTAATCAGCTTTTGCAACTATTAGATAAACAGGAGGTGTAAAAAGCAGACTGTATCCCCGTAAAGGACTTGTGTAGGCATGCTGACTACACATTGCCACATGACTGCTGCTGTAGGATTTGTGTTGTGTTAGAAGTGTGGGGAAACTTTGGAAAATCTCACTTACAGCCTTTAATCACCAAGAAAAGGCCATCAGCATTCTATGTAATGTTCATCCTTCAAACCCACTGTTCATAGAATCACAAGGACTTGGCAATCAGAGCTGCCACCCAAGTCTCATAGCACCAGCCCCTCGCTGACCCTCCTGCAGGTGGTAGGTCCACCGGAAGATGGCTCCTCCGTCTTGAAGACTGGCCTTGGTCTTTCAGCAGGGGTCTTCAGGCAAAGTGGGGTTGTGTCTTGCCCAGGGACACAAAGGCAGCAGACATTAGTGGGAGCAGAACTGAGCCACTGTCCCCCCCATTTTCTTATTGTATTGTACTGTATTGTGTGTTGCATTGTGCTGTATTGTATTGTATTGTGTCTTGTGTTGGATGAGAGCGATAGGAGTAAAATAAGCATTTGCTTCAACCTTTGTTTTTTCAAACCTGTAGTATCTGTGTTGGTTATGTTTGTGTCAGTTGTGTTTATGTGAAAATGTGTGCCTGTTTGAAATTAATAATCCAATCTTAAATTCAAATCTAGTTATAGATGTGAGAAGAATGCCTTTGTGACCTAAATGCTGTCTGTAGGATTTTATTCAAGAACCCATACAACTTGGAAGCTGGATTTTAAATTCACTTTTCCCCTTTATCTTTATTTGATCTAATGCTAATGTCTGTCTAAAACATGAATGTCAAACATGTTATAACGTAAACTGTTTTTTTGGTTGGGACATGTCGCCCAACAGTTGCATTCACAACCACAGACTCACCCTGAACTATTGTACATGTTTTTAGTGGTAGGGGTTATCAGAGTACCCGGAGGAAACCTACGCAGACACAAGGAGAACATGTAAACTGCAGTTCCAGCCAGTATTCGAACCAGGACATCTTATTGGGTCCCTGACAAAAATTATGTTAAGTATGTATTTCATTATTTGGTTGAGACAGTGTGTGTTAATGAACAGCAGTGCTGCGAAAACACCAGATTGTAGCAGTGGTCTTTTTTCCATCAACCCTGGTCTAAAATTACAATATTTTGCCAAAATATCACGTTTTACAAAATAATTTTGGGTTAATTTTTACAAAGTGATATAATGATATTTTTTGAAGGATTCAAAAGGGGACTTTTTGGATAATGTACTTTTGTCATAATACATTTAATTGTATAGTTTTTCTAAGATTAAAGTGACACAGTGGTAAAATTGTGAAAACTGTTGATGGAACCTAACTATTTTAGAGCCAGGAACTACATTTTATTAGTTACAATATTGTGCTTGGAAAGTTTAGTACCTGGGGTCACCTTTTTACATTGTTTTTGACGCTAATTCTGTTTCAATTTTGCTTTCACGATCACAAGAATACTCCACCTACAGGCTTTCAAGGCTGCTCAACAAACGCAGTCACAGCTGTGATTGCGTGTATTGAGCAGAGGAGGGCAGTGTTACGACACATTTGGGAACGTGTGGCGTAAACCCGAGCTCAGCCTGGACACCTGTTCCTCAGACGCTCAAAGCCTGGACTGGCAGCGGACGCGTGAACTGTTTGGCGAGTCTGCAGGACAGAGCTTGTGTATATTTCATCACATAAAGGCGCTCTATGTACTGCATAAGGAAAACAACTATACGTTCTTATTTTATGGAGAAAAGAAAGCATTTGAAACATTAAGGAGTTATCTCTATTACAAAATATACAATAGGCAATTAAACTTGAAAAGGGCTATTATAATGGCCCTCTTCAATTATATTATAACTACAAATATATTACAACTGTGATATGCTTTCGACACATTCAATGAAATAAATCCATCAATAGATCCAATCAATAGAAAGGGAAGTTATTCAATGATAAAAAATAAAATTAGACAAAATGATCGTTATACAGTATTTTATTTTTTTCAAGAATTGAGTAGTAAACTTTTTTAGCCAGACACTTCCTAACCCTAATCCACATTTCACTCGGAAAGCGCATCGCCTCGGTTAATGTTTTCACTTTGGAGGTTCGGCTGCAATGAGAACATTAGCACAAAGCATTTGCCATAAACGTCCCGTAATTAAATCATAGAAGGCATCAAGTGGCTGTTCTTATAATTGTCAGCAGCATCTCTGGAACTTACTGACTCAATTAAAGACCTCTTCTGATTGGTTGGGCAAATATTCCCGCAGGACCTCGTGCTCTATACTATACTCACGCAACGGGACCCGCGTAAGCCACAATCTGCCCAAGGCGAGGGAGGGCACAGGGAGGAGAAGAGTGAAGCCCAATATAGCGCACGGACACAATCAGACAAGTGTTGGTGAACGTAGGCTATGCGCGCGTAGAGGGGGGAGCGCTGTGCGTAAAGTCTTCGTCCAAACTCGCTCCTGCTTCAAGAGTCACTGTTGGTGACAGGAAAGTCATAGGAAGAGGGCAACTGTGAGGGAAGTGCAAGACAAGATAGGGTCAGGCGACAAGAGGAGCAGACTTTCACCGAAAGATGAACGCTAACGAGGAGAACCTGCTGAAGTCCATCAGCAACGACGCGCTTCTGGACCTGACGCAGCGCTACGGCCAGTCCGCTTTCGGCTTTGGTCCGAGCCACGGCACTGGGAACCCGGCACGCTTTCCGCTGACACCTGCCACAGACTTCATCTCTGGACAGACCACAAAGTCCAACGAGAGCGGCGGGGAACACACGAGTGACGACGATGATGCGTTTGACTCTCTGGAGTCCAGGAAGAGAGGTCCTTCTTTTGGGGACGACAAGCCCGGGGGCCCACTGGCCAAAAAGTCTAAAGAGCAGAGGTCCTTGCGGCTCAGCATCAACGCCAGGGAGAGGAGAAGAATGCACGACCTGAATGACGCACTGGACGGCCTGCGTGCGGTTATCCCGTACGCGCACAGCCCGTCTGTGAGAAAACTCTCCAAAATAGCCACACTTCTTTTGGCTAAGAACTATATCCTCATGCAGGCGCAGGCTCTGGAGGAGATGAGGCGGCTTGTGGCGTATCTGAACCAGGGCCAGACCATTACGTCCCCCATCCCTACTGCTCTGGCCCCCTTTGGACAAGCAGCCGTTTATCCGTTCTCCAGCTCTGCTCTCGCTACTTGCGCCGAAAAGTGCTCGACTTATTCCGGGACACCTTCAAGTCTCTTCAAACACTGTAACGACAAGCCTTGATTTATTTCCTTTAAACTAATGGACTTTGACCTCTGCTAAACCCATTCAATCTCTCCCACTCCAATTATTTAAATAGTAAGAAGTTAAGTTTTGCATAAACTAATTTAAATATACTGCTATAATTGTTGACCACAATTAGCCTAAGTTGCTGTCACCTTCAACAATTTGCAGGTAATGTTTTCAAAGTTTGTGGTTTTTGTAAACTTGAACAGTTTATGTATTCTTTCTGTAACCGGAACATTCATCCAATCCGCGTTCGCCAATTTTAAGCAAACAATTCCAGACCAACGAGAATCTATTTTCAAAATGGTGAACTGAAATTTTAGGGTTTTTTATTTTGAATTCATGCACACTTGTCACATGATTGTATTGTACAACTGTGAAAAAGGCCAACAATGCAGAGTCACTGGTGGTGTCGCATATGGATTTCATATATTGTTTATATGTCTTTATAATTAAAATGTATCTATGCCTGAAACACGATCTGCCTCATTTTCCATTAATCATGCTCATACCACAGAACTTCAGACAGACAGAAGGTGCCAAACGCGTGCGTCCTGGGTTAAAGGTTTTGGTTAAACTTGGATTTATTTGTTTCGAACTAACACCTTTTTCTGTCTCAACAACAAATATTTATATTGTAAACTAAAGCATAGGCCTATAATCTCCGCGCGTGAGACGTCAAGTCTCCTCTGAAGATGAGCTGCAGGGACCCGCTGCACGCACTGGGGTCGGTGGCGCTTAGAGGAAAGGCACGGGACGCCCGGGGCGCACAGGACCTGTCTCCGGGTATTTGGGTGATCGCACGCACACTTCTTTACGCTCTTTACTGGTCAGCTATTAACACGATTTCTGCTCTTGTCTGCCCGCTCCACTAAACTCACTGAGCAGGTCTTTGTCAGTAGCCCATAACAACTTATTTATGTTTGTTAGGGTTTTTTCCCCCAGGACACCTTTCAATAAAACGAAAACTAAATCATTACAATTGTCATTTATCTAAAAATACTATAATATTATCAATTAATAAAATGCTTATATCATACATTGATTGAACTTTAAATATCCCATTCTAATCTAACCCTTTATAGACATGTAGTTATGTAATCATTCATGAAAACCTGAAAAATGTTTGTAATTTACTGCTACATAATGGTTGACACATTTGTCTGTCACTAAGTGACTAAGTTATCCAGTCCCTCTTTAACTACTTGTCACAACAGCAGGCGACCGATGGCATCTTAAATGGGCCCTCTGATGACACATGTCTTGTCTGGGCCCTTGAGACGGCTGGACCAGGGAGGATGAAATCTGACAAAGGCAGTTGATGTGTTGCTCGGGGCCTGAGTTCCATCAGAACAGCCGCACATAATTGTTACAAATGAGATGGTTGCCTTTTTGCATGCCTGAAGTATGGGCACTTCAGCCACTTTGTTGCTCTGATCTAATATGTGCTGGTATTTCTTGCAAACATCAGAGTGAGTTGTGTCTCTATGACACTTGATGCAGCTTAGTTTATTTGAGTGTGAGATCCAGGATGTGTGGATGCAAGCGTGCAGGTCACCAGTGCTGACTTAAAGAGTATTATATAACACGTTTTAGTTTCAGGATCAATCACGCTCGTTTCTGTCTGCATTGAACGATACATTTCTTGTTTCATTTTTCCGTTTTTGTCTAAACAAAAACACAAAGCAAAATGTATTATTACATTCAACTGGATATTGTTAGTAATGTTTTGCCAATTTAACTTAAATAAAACAGCCTATAACAGCCTGGTGTCCTGGTGACCAACAGAGTCACCAGGCCATTCAACTCTAACTCTCATTCAAAGATCAAATTAGTGTAATTGTATTCAAGGCACAGTTGTGTTAAACATGTAACATGTTCATATAGGAAAGATGTGTTTTCTTGATTCATTATATATATATAAAAAGAGTTTGTCTTCATGTAGATTTGTATCATAATCTTATATAAGGCGACGATAAATGGATTGTCTACTTGTCAACAATTAATAATTATGGTTTTGTCATTAATACAAACCTTAATTAATACAAAGGGGTATATTCCTTGAGGCTTTGCATGTTTGCCAGAGCGATTAGCACCCTTTAACATTGGAGACTGATTTGTTATGCAGTGTAAAGATAGGACTAAACCAGGAACATCTACACACACCTGGATTGATGGATAATCGTGTAAAAAGGATTATGATCACAACCAACTTTAGATCACCCACAGATTTGGTAGGAAACAACATTGAAAATAGAACATTCATGTCCTCAGTAAAGGGATTCATGTGTGTGTTCTGTGCGCAGGTTTGAGTGCGAGCCTTCACAGTTGCGTCCATGCGGTTTGTGCTGGGGCAGTAACAGCGCAGCGTGGTGCAGGACTCCACGCCGACTGTGCCATGTCTGTAAACATTTGTGTTTGCTCTCCGTGGGATAGAAAGGGAGTGATTTCATTAGCATGGCTCCCAGCTTTGAGGTATGTGTGTGCTCTCCGCTCCAACCCGACGGTATAATACTAAAACCATATGCCCCTAAGTGCGTACCTCCGCCTAATCCTTCTGACAGCGCTGTTTTCTCTAATTAAGTTATGTCTAAGTGCAAGCTCACGCATCCGCAACACATTGTAGCTCTCCATGTTACAACCAAGTCTTCACTTCGATAGCCTCAAAGCAAACAAATGCATGCTTGAATGACTGTTATTCAAGAAGACTTTCCATATTTGGTGTTTTAAATTATACTTTTAAACTCCTTTAGTGGTGTGAGAGGTGGCAATTTCAGTGTTGGACAGCTTTCTCAGTGGCATGTAGGTCTATAGAAGCTTATGCATGTATGAGGCTGGTATAAGGCCGCATTAAAGCAGAGAGTCCATCCCGGAGTGTGCCCGCAGACCCAATGTGAGGGCGTTCCTTCCAGCCCCACCTTGTCGGAACAATGACTGGGCGAGTCAGTTGGTTCAGAGGAGCTGTGTGATTTGGGGCGACGTTGCTGCAAGTGCACAGAGCCGGGCACAGGCCTTTATTTGTTAATCAGACATCAGAGGGGGAGGTGTGCCTGCTTGCCAGAGACGTACTTGTGCGTATGTGTGTGTGTGTGTGTGTGTGTGTGTGTGTGTGTGGTTTGTGCTCTCTTGTGCCAAAATACAATGATTTTTGCATTAACCACAAAGCTCTAGTTTGCAGAATTTGATTAAGAAGAGAGTTATGAGACAATTATATGTGTGTTGTGGCGCCTTTCACAATTCAGTCGATTTTGAGATTTTCCTGAATTTTAGGGGAAAGAACTGCCCTCTCCACTTTTTGAACAAAACTCCAGAATGATTGACAATTAGGACGACCAGTGGTCTTGATGATCCACCCGGAAGTAGAAAATCCTCCTATATACCTGATGAGGTTGATCACAATAAATAGTTATTAGTAATAGTAATAGTGCTTTTTAAGGTACTACAAGCCTTGAATTGCTCAAATATTTTAAAATTGTGTCCTGTTATTGCCCATTTTTTGCATAAACACTTACTCAAATAATTATTGTTTTAGCCTAAATTATTTAGTCATTTTTTATAATTTGAACCTTGATGATTAACCTTCATTTTGAAATCAGAATAATATTTAACAATTTGTTATGGAAGTGTTGATATTAAGTGAACATTTGTTAGTACAATTTTCATTTTCAAAATGTTTACAACATTTACACACAATACATTTTTCTCGACAGATTTGACTCCAGGCTTCTACTGTATCATTTGACAGTGGTGTAGCAATTGCTTATTTGTGCAGAAAAAATCCCCCAAAAATTTTAAACAAACTCACTTCCCGAGTTCCCTTCCAGTTCTGCTCAATCATTCTACAAAAAAAAAGCGGTGTTTGAAAGGCCCATTACTTTCAACAATGGCTTCTAGTATGAATGAAAGCTGGTATTAAAAGCTATTCAACATATCCAGAGAGGCTGTCTGAGGAAATATTAGTGATGACAGTAAAGTGGAGTGAGCTTAAAACAGCGGAAGGGGTGGAGCTACAACACCTCACTACATTCAAACAAGGAAGCTAACAAGTAGATAGATAGATACTTTATTGATCCCATAGGAGAAAGTCAGGAAAGTGTCAGGGGAAAAAGTGTAAGCAAATAAAGATAGTTATTACTTACAAATGAATGATAAGACTTGTAGATCTAATGGGGGTTTACATTTATATGGCATCCAAATAATCTGGTGACTTGTTGTTTTGGGCTTTTTTTTCCACATGCTGATGTTTGTCTGAGTGCATAATGTCCACTGTAGACTGTGCCACTTGTCCTGATTTGTGTTTACAGGGATTGCCCTAAAACCAGACTTACCAATGGGTCAGACTCAAATGTCGTAATTCATGGCCAGTGGCAGTTGTTCCTAATTCCTCAAGAGAAAGTGCTTGTTTCTTTTAAAGAAAGACAATTCAATTCTTTTCAATGTATTCTTGTATAGCCCTAAATCACACCTGTCTCGGAGGACTTTACAAAACAGGTGATTTTGCCAACACAGATCAGAGAATCAAACCGTTCAAACACAAGAAATGCAATGATTTAAAAAAAACACAGAGCCATTGGGCCAAGAGGGGCAGGTGTCCATAAATGTCCATAAATGTTGATAAATGTCTATAATGTTGTTGAATGCTGAGTGTCCTGGATCATCACCATCAAGACATTTTTGCCTCTTCTATTGGTAATTTTGCTTGAACACACTCCAAGATAAATTTAGCATCAATCAAACCATTTCTGTGTGATTTTCTGCAGAGACTTTGCATGAATCCTGAACCACTATAATGTCAATAGTCAACTCCCAGACCTCATTTCTCCCTTCGTTCTGCCTCGCACATCATTTTCTCATCCCCAACAGTTTAACCACACACCGCCCCTTGACACCCGCCACCCCACCCCACCCCCCTGTCTCCCCCTTCCCTCGGTTCAGCCTCATCATTCCCACTCTTTGCTTATAGCTTGTTGTCTTGACAGAGGATCGGAGCTGACAAA